AAATACTGAGGAAATGTGAATTGTCACGAAAACAAGAAAACGGGCGAAATTGCGTCTCCTGAAGATCAACGCTTATATCCTGTTCGTTTCGAACGGAAAATGTCATTTGGCGGATGGAAAAACCGACGGGGGCGTCGTTGCCACAGAACGACAGTGCTCTCTTCTTAGACCATTTTCGAACACCTGTGGAAGAGACCAAGAACAGGACACCGGTTTTGCAATTCTCTTTCTACTCTTGCCACCGAATTCACGAATTTGAGGTAGACACGCAATGAGATGGGTGACAAATACTTCTGACGATTCGAGATTGACAATCTTTAATGCTCGGCTATTCAGACCTTCACTGCGTAGATAAATCTTTTGTGCCGAAACAGCTCTATATGCACAGTAAACTGTGAAGCAGTGAAGATCAATGAATGAATAAGCTGTAGTCCTTCCGTTTGCTTTTCATCTGAGTATCCTCCTATCGGTTTTCAATTCAGATAATATTCTTTGGTGAAAAGTATTTTCTTCATGATCAAAATCATAAACGAAGTACTGTGATGCTGATTCTCCATTTCTAGGTCATTTCAACGCCATGGTTCATAACAACTTCAGGTTGTTGACCGTGATTATGATCAAAATAATCATCATTGTCGTCACTATGGTCATCATCAGCCTCAACCTAAATTTCATTCTCTTCACAACCGTCACCGTTTTCATCATGAATTTTATCCTCATCATATTCCCGAACCTTCTTGCTTTTGATTCTTCTCTTTTTTTCCTTTTCCTTCTCGTTTTCTTTTTCCTCCTCACTCTCCTTCTCATCAGCTGATTTTCATTACGTTGATCCAATCGGTCCCTCGCTTATCCCCCATCGTCTCACTTTGCCAGTTATCTTAATCATAGTGTTCTTTTCTTCTCTCGTTCCATTTCGATCTCATCAGCTTCGTCACCCTCTTTATCTTAATTGCTACCATAATCACCAACAACTTCCTCCTCCATCACAATCCCGTTTCAATTCTTCTCATCCTCCTCTTATATCTCATCCAACCGGTTTCACCTTTATTTTCGTTCTCCACGTAGTAAGCCTCAACCTGTATGTCTTACTAGTCCTGCTCATTCTGTTTCTCTCTAACCTCTTCCATTTCCAGTTCCTAAAATTTTTCTTCCTCTTCCCCCGTCAGTCTTATTCCAGCCAACGTCACGGCAGAATAACTATGCTAAACATATCAAAGTTATGAAAGCATTTCTGCCTTTTGCTTCGACGCATGCTCAAAACTCTAATCTTAGTTATTTTGCGCAGTCTGGTTTGTTGGTCACCAATAATCATCGATTTTCGACAGGAAACAAGATTCTTGAAC